GTCATCACCACCCACCGCCAACTTTTACCAACGAATAGTGGGATTGACCGTCACATTATAACGCCCCCACGGCTGAAAGGAGCGAGCATGTTTGGTGGGACGGGGATTCGAACCCGCAACCCTCAGATTGCAAGTCGAGCGCCCTAGCCACCTGGCCATGCCGGGCCTATTGCCTCCTATTCTCCAGCATTTGAAGCTTACTTGTGCAACCATTACCTCCCCCAAAAGAATGCGTTTATTAACCTTGTTTCCGCCCCTTGAGTAGACTTTCAATTATTCTTTTTACCGAATAATTCAACAGAACTCTCTCATCAACAGAAACCATCATAAAAGCATTTTATTTTTGTAAGCGTGAACTATTTGATCATATATTTAGTGAAAACGATCCAAGTTGTGGACCATCTCTCTTACAAAATGGGAAATTCATGCTGCAGAATTTTGTTTTTGACGGATACGATATATTCAATATAAGCCTGATTTCTGATTAATGCAAAACTGCACGACAACGCTCACTCTACAGAGAATTAAGTCACATTTTACAAGAATGTTGTTTCTAGACCTGTGTTGCCCTCAGAATTACTTCCTTCATCGTCGACCGTGCTCATTCTGATGGCGATTATTACAGACTTTACCAGTACGTGGACGTTGGCTTCCTAAATCATATTTAAGCAGGAAATAACGCCATTGCACCTACAGACTGTATCGTGTGATTTGATAGGTATTTGGTTGAATGGGATTTCAGTTTCTTTAGCCTTTTTTACTCAACAGCCACTGATTTTGAGTTGTGTCTCAAAGCTTCTGGACTTTTGACTAGTGAGCCCTGTTAGCTTTTGGTCTTTATTTATTATCTTAACACTAAAAATAAACGCCCTTATAACACCAAAATGGTATGTTTTGGCAAACGCCCCTGAAGAAACTGTAAAGCGAAACGTTAAGTGTCTAATTAAATAAAAACAACATTTTGGTCTTATAAGGTCGTATATTTCTAGAATTAACATGTCTTTCTATACACCAATATACAGTACAGAAATTAAATAATGAGTTTATCTATTGTTAATGGTATCTTCTTAATGGTACTAGAAAATATGCCCAGTTTCATCGTAATGGTGGTTTTCGTAATCATAATTATTACAGGTTCAGACATTGCTCTGGATTGGCATAGGGTATGGGTTTGGAGACTTTTGTTCTCCTAAACACTGAGAACATGGAAGGGTTCCATTTTTTAAATGTGTGCTCACGTGTTTGACAATCAAGCTATAGGCATATTCTTCTTTATAAAAGGTAGTTACACATTCTTCCTGCTATAAATCTAACCTTGGTGACATTACTCGTCGAACAGTCGGAATTCACCGTTAACTAAACATAAAAGTGTGAAACATGTTACCCATGATGCAACACTACCACATTAAAAACTACAAGTCATTCTATTTAGAATGATTAACTGCCTGTATAAACACTGAAGAGAGCATTAGTCCAGCAGTACAACTTTATAAAATTGAAACTGTTAGTTCTTCCTGAACGGTAGTTTGGTTAACAACCTACCCCCCCACGTACCCGCTGAACGGTAGTTTGGTTAACAAGCTACCCCCCCCCCCACACACATAGCCGCTGAACTAATAGATCTGCTATGTAAAGTTTTAGCTAATACTTCTCACCGTAATAGTTGCTACATTAAGATTTTTTAACGCTTGTACATCTTTACAGAAATCGTGACGACTATGAAAGTGTAGTTACATAGACTCGCATGTTAATACCACATTAGTTGTTTTGAACAAATTTATTCGTACATTGTAATTGGTGGTTTATTTTAACTGGATTAGCTATGTGAATTACTAGTAGTATGATACAAATTAACTATACTTACTATAGGGTTGACAATGAGTGGAACTTTACTCTTATCCTTAACGAAAGCGACGGTGGAGGAATAAAGAACAAATGGCGTCCAACACACAAGAAAACACGATAGAACCAGGAATAGAGTTACTGACATCCGTTTTTGTTGCATTAATGTATTTTGAAGGGGAATATTAGACGTTTCTCGTATCCTGTGCATGTGTTCGTCTATCTCTTGGAAGATTCGGCAATAACAGAAGATCATCACTGCCAGTGGTATCAGGTAGTTAGTGGTAGTAATGACGATGGAGTGAGAATAGTCCAACAAGCCATCAGGAAGACTAGGACCACATTGTGAAGAACCTAACTTATAGATGATATTGTTCCAGCCCACCAGAGGTCCTGTAGCACACAGAGCCGACCAACACCAAGCTGCAGCAATCATGATGAGGATCCTTCGGGGATTCATTGCTCGACTAAAGGGCCGAGTGATGGAGATATACTTATGAATGCTAATGTACATCAAAGTATGGATAGAACAAATTAAAAGCAAAGCCATGGTGAATCCATTCAGCTTACAGAAAAAGTCGCCCATGATCCAGTCTCCGTGATTTATGGTCACTAAAGAAACGGGCATATCAATTGCCGCGGTCAAAACGTCAGCCACTGCTAAGTTAACGATAAACATGTTGGTTCTGGTCCGCATTCCTTTGTGCCGGACTATAGTTAAGATTACCATGATGTTTCCAAAGATCGACAGAATGATGAAGATCACTATCGCCATAGACATGGGAACAACAACGGGAATTCCATAGTAATGATACGTACTAGATGCTTGGTTATTTGTTTCATTGCTTCCTTCTTCCCTCTCAGTCAAGTGTGGACTTGTCGTTGATGTAACATTCATCTTCTCCAGCTTCCCCCGAAACTTAAATAACTCAAGCTAAATGAACAAGGCAGGCCAACATAAGCTGAAAAATCCGCTTCTTTCAACAAAGAATTGTTAGTCTTCTTCGCAAAACGATAAGTACCTGTAAGATAATAACAGTAAAAATCAATACAATATATATTTAATACCTGGCAAATGCAATTGTTTGATTACCTGTCTAGTTAACAAGTGCATAAACGGCTGTCGGGGATTATATATATTGGCTAGTTGGTTAAATTTAAAATAAGCATATCGTTGTGCTTCAACACTCCATTGAAGTTCACTAGCGTCTTTATAAACTAGGTTTTGTCTAACTTGGAATTGGGAAACACATTCAAGAAAATATGCAAGAATTATCACCAATATTAAATTAAGCTCTGAAGTCCGGCTTTGAAATTTCCTATACTTCATAATATAAGCATTTTAGTTGGAAAAACTCGAGTATTTACTAGCTCTTAAACATTTATACTTGCCAATAAGTTTATCGATAGAAATAAAAACATTGCGTTATATTTTAGAAAAGTGTATAGAAGAGAAAACTGACTGCTGAAGTAACGAAAAGATATAACACTTCACATATTAAAATTATTCCCCACATTTTTCAATTGTTTAAAAAGAAACCAACATTTCCCTTACAAATGGTAGCGTTATAATGAGGCTGTACTGTATACTGATAACATGGAATGCGAGCCTGTTGAAAGAAAGAGGACAGCACAAAATCAATAATATATTTACATTAGTAAATAAACAGCATTTTATTTAGGAATTAACAACTTGGTGGGGTCTAAAGCATATTTTCACCCAAAAGTTAAGCCATACGAACTGGCTGATTCCAAAAACTATGAATATGGCAAAGGGTGGTGCTGGTAGAGTTTTTCGAAATACCGATTTTTTAAATTTATTTATGTTTTTTTGCTCTTTGATTATATAAAGTATATATAAAGTAATATATATATATATATTACTTTATGAAGATAACCATGATGGCCAGCCGCCCCAATTACTCCTGGATTAGCCCATAGTATATTTAAATAGGTCTATATTAAAGTGTCGAAACATATTAGCGTGAAGAATCTTTCTTCAAGTAAAAGAAAGCACAATCTTACCATACATCATTAACATTAGTCAAGAACAGATATTACACAACAAATCAAGAAACACAGGTAGAGCTTATAGAAAAGAAGTCGATCGCGTTTTCTACTGTAAAAACAATTTTAAATACATCACAGCATTTGAATGATAAAAAAAACGGAGCTATTTCGTACGAAATAGAAAATATTTTTAAACCTTCATATTTCCAACAGTAAAGCTTTCGGAGCATCTAACAATTGGAAATGTTTCGTAATTAGCAATGATTTGTTAATTATCTATCCTATACGATATACGCTCTTATTTTCCAATAATTGTAGCAATATTCTTTAAACTGCTGTCAGTTAAACCCCCCCCCCCTCTAGTGGTACAGCAGCATGTCTGCGGACTTACAACGCTAGAACTCGGGTTTCGATACTCATGGTGGGCAGAGCGCAGATAGCCCATTGTGTAGCTTTTTGCTCAGCTACAAACAAAAACAAAAAACAAAGCAAACAGCTAAAAGGACCGAGCGCGGCCCAGTGGTTAGTCTATCACTTCAAAATTTGGGACGTTTAGAGCAGATAGCCCTCGTGTGGCCTCGCGTGAAATCCAACAAAACATAGTTAAAGCATGAAAAAAAAAAGTAAATTAAAAGAGAGGACTCAGCTCTTTAAAATTGCTATCGACACTTAGCATCTGTATAGAATAATACTATAATGATAATAATTCAGGACACTCCACTTTTGGTAAACGCTTGCGAAACCCGTCAATATACAGTATTGTTAAGTTGAGACACGGGTGGAAGAAGCAAACGTTACGTGGGAGAAGGGAAGAGGGAGGGAGGGGGGGGGCTAAAATGAATGAGAGATCTAAGAATAGCAATTCAATGGGATTGGGGGTAGAAAGCCATGAAAATGTGACATTTATAGACTTCAAATGAAGCAATTCCTATAATATACAATGGTAACACGCGGACATGTAATGTATGGCAACAATAACACTATTCAACGTATTAACCTTCTATCATCAATACTGGAACAACTTTTACAGCGAGAGTGCTTATATACACACTGAACAAAATCGAAACTAATGTATGATAAGAACCACGCATGTGCAGCACACCTCTGATAAATCAGGCTGTGCTACTGCACCCTCAGCACCACTGGTCAGTTTATTACATAGGATTAGCTTCATTGATTAACAATTTACATTTTGGTTTTGATCTACAGAAGACATTGATAATTGTTCCTTAATATTAGTTAAGCGAAAGCAATAAAACAACGAAAATTACAAACCATAAGAAACTGAAGTAATTTTGTTGTTGTGGTTGTTGAATTTCGCGCAGAGCTACTCGAGGGCTATCCGCCCCTAAATTTAGAAGTGATAAACTAGAAGGAAAACAGCTAGTATTGGACCACTTCAATCTAATAGTGATATTTACCATCACATTATAAATACCTCCATAGCTGAAAGGGTGAGCAAGTTCTGTGGTGGGATTCGTATCCGCGACCCTCATGTTTGGAGTCGAGTGTTCTATCCACCAGGCATGTTTTGTTGCTTTTGTAGTTAGGAGAAGCAAGATAAAGGTTTGTCAATTTTCTTCACAAATTAAGTTCAAGTAAAATTTGTAGAATATTGGCAGCTAATCACGAAAGACTATCTACAGTGTAAAGTTTGGGAATAAAATTTAGTCAGAATTATAAATATGGACGATTTCTTTTTTTTAACTATTGAATGTCCAAACAAAATTGCCAACTTCAAAATATATGTAAAAAGTAATCTTTTAAAGCCAATAAAATAAAGTTGTTCAGTTCATTAGAGAAACCAATCGCCTAAAAGCAACAATCAGAACAGTTATTATTTATTATACACAAGAACATTTTATTTGTAAACTTTAGGCCAGCGGTTCCTAATCTGTGATCTACAGAACTCCCTTCATGTGGTTGGTGGAAAGGTTGCATAATTACGGAAAGAAGGCAGAAGAGTAAATAGTACACATCTTAATATAATCAGCAGATATAAAAAACAAATCAGGTTGTCCGCAAACACGAAAGTTTGAGAACCACTGCTCTAGATCAATTACAACTAAATGCAGGAAATCTACAAACGTAAACAACTGCCGGAAAGAGAAGGGGAATAGGAGGTGGGGGGTAAAGAATTAAGCCAATGTAAACTTTCTTATGCAAGTACTGCATTACCAGTGCCACGAGTACATTGTGGTATAAAACAAAACATGAAAAAACGCTGAAGGAAAATGACATGTAAGCAAGTTAATAAAAGTCTTTAAATATATCTTGCCAGTTTATAAACATCAGGACTTTTAGTGTGGCGTTTCGGCATTATCGGGTTTTTCTTGACCAAAGGATATAGCATTTATAACCTTGTAATCTATAACTATTCCAGTAATCTTCATAACTATAACCATATCTGCATTACCAGTGCCACGTGTACATTGTGGTATAAAACGAAACATGAAAAAAACGTTGAAGGAAAATGACATGTGTGCAAGTTAAACAAAGTCTTTGAATAAATCTTGCCAGTTTATAAACAACAGGACTTTTAGTGTGGCGTCTAGCATTTATAACCTTGTAATCTATATTTATTCCAGAAATCTTCGTAGCTATATTAGATCTCAGAATTCTGAAGTATCCCGTTTGACATTGATTTTCTGTTCATCAGTATGGAAATATTATGCATTTAAACAAACACAATGTTTCTCTCGATGATTTAGAAAACGTATATGTATTCTTCCAAATAACCAGGTTTGGTTTAGTTTAAAAGCAGTAGATGTTTAATACAGTTTAAATTATTTGTTTATACTTTACTCTAAGAAACATGCCTGACACTTCGGCGCGTGCGTCATGTCTCTAGTTAAACCATTCGCAGCCTGTACATTTAGAACATTTCATTACAAGAGCAACACCTCATACTTTTGTTTTTAGAAATTCCTATCCGTTAGTAGATCTGGCAACATGATTCAAAAAATAATATACTGTTTGCTTAAACTGGTTGCAGAAAACGGCCGTATTTAGCTTGTTTGAGGACACCGTGCAATATTATGATACTAGAGGCTCTATTCCTCGGGGTGATTCAAAACTGAGCCCCACCCCCCTCCCCATGCAATAGCATGGGTTGGCTGCACCCCCTCTAAATCAAGTACTGGGTAGAAAAAAAAGAGAAGAATATTACCGTTTTATTTGATATTTCAAGCAATAATTAACAAAAAACGAAAAACTACTGGATCCTCTAATCATAAAAACATTTTTTCAGATGTTGTCCAATCTTCCATACCATGTTAGACGTTTCATGCCAGTTTTAAAAAGGTAAAAATGTCCCAAAAAGTAACCGTGATGTAAATTATTCATAACTGTTGCAAAGCTCCCTGCTATATAGTTATACCATAAATCACTAAGTATTTGAGCAATCCGGTTTATTAATGTACAAACAATTGTGAAATACAAAGATTTTATTTAGCGGATGAAAATTAGTTAGTTAACAGAAAAATAAGTTTTAGTTCGCTCAATGTTTTGTTATGTGCAACTTCAAGAGAGACTTCAGACAAAGTAGGAAATGTTCTAGAGAAATAACCCTCGGAGGTTCAACGGTAACTTTCTGGGGGTGTGCTTCCCCGCGGTGGACAGAGTACTGATAGCCTGTTGTGTAGATTTGTACTAAATACAATAATTTTGGAACTGTTAAACGAAAAGCTGAGCGAATTTTCTGCAGTTAAGACTCGTTTAATTAAATTATATATTTCAAATAATCCACGAGCATTAAAAAAAATAATCACCAGAAATATAACTAAGTGGCAAAGAGTAAATTGATCTAATATAATTTCCCCTTTTGATAGTTTTTTCTTTCCTCCTTGCATTTTACAAGATCACTTACACGACTGGTCAACAGATAAGATACAATCTCGCATTTTCCGGCGACCTATGTGTCAACGACACACAGGCGTTTCCGTTGAGACTCATTACTGAATTTAACGTAAGCCTAATACTGGTTTTCCAAACATAAAACGGAGCATCATTT